ACGTTCTCAGTCTTGGCCATTTCTCAGTCTCGGCCAATTAAATGGTTAAAAAAAATCTAGTTTTTATGTCAATGGAGTCTCTTGTTCCTAAGTCATCTGCCAGTAGTATTTTTATTAAATATATATATATATATTTGTTTCCCCAAACTCTCAACAGGTGAAACCCTGATAACTTAGGACTGCACGTTCTCAGTCTTGGCCATTTCTCAGTCTCAGCCAATTAAATGGTTAAAAAAAATCTAGTTTTTATGTCAATGGAGTCTCTTGTTCCTAAGTCATCTGCCAGTAGTATTTTTATTAAATATATATATATATCTATTTGTTTCCCCAAACTCTCAACAGGTGAAACCCTGATAACTTAGGACTGCACGTTCTCAGTCTTGGCCATTTCTCAGTCTCGGCCAATTAAATGGTTAAAGAAATCTAGTTTTTATGTCAATGGAGTCTCTTGTGCCTAAGTCATCTGCCAGTAGTATTTTTATTAAATATATATATATATTATATATATATTATATATATTATATATATTATATATATACGCGCAAACACCCCGATTCGCCCACACCCATTTCATGCTGCACACTTGGGGATAACAAACGTTACACTTTACATTCAATTGGGAAGATCATCAAGGGTATTTAGGGAATATGAATTTCCCACCCCGTCCAACTTTACATTCATTGAACATCTTCAATAAAGGTTTAATTCTCCCACTAAACTTCTACATTCGATGAAGATCTTCAATAAGGGTCTCCCACCCCCATTAAACTTCTACATTCATTGAAGATCTTCAATAAGGGTTTAATTCTCCCACCCCCGTTAAACTTCTACATTCATTGAAGATCTTCAATAAGGGTTTAATTCTCCCACCACCGTTAAACTTCTACATTCATTGAAGATCTTCAATAAGGGTTTGATGATGATGATGATGATGATGATATTGTTGATGATGATGATGTGTAAGAGACTCGCACAGGTCCCTAAGCTGTGCGTGCCGATATACAACATGAAGTTAGCCATGATGCAAAAAACTACCATTTTTACCACGTTTTCAGCACATACGAAGATAGCCGCCGACAAGCGCGGGCAAATCGAGGTGTTTGCCCGTATATATATATATATATATATATTTGTTTCCCCAAACTCTCAACAGGTGAAACCCGGATAACTTAGGACTGCACGTTCCCAGTCTTGGCCATTTCTGTCTCGGCCAACTAAATGGTTAAAAAAAATCTAGTTTTTATGTCAATGGAGTCTCTTGTTCCTAAGTCATCTGCCAGTCGTATTTTTATTAAATAAATAACTATACATTTATATATATATATGTTTCCCCAAACTCTCAACAGGTGAAACCCTGATAACTTAGGACTGCACGTTCTCAGCCTTGGCCATTTCTCAGTCTCGGCCAATTAAATGGTTAAGAAAAATCTCGTTTTTATGTCAATGGAGTCTCTTGTTCCTAAGTCATCTGCCAGTCGTATTTTTATTAAATATATATATATATTTGTTTCCCCAAACTCTCAACAGGTGAAACCCTGATAACTTAGGACTGCACGTTCTCAGTCTTGGCCGTTTCTCAGTCTCGGCCAAATAATTGGTTAAAAAAAACTAGTTTTTATGTCAATGGAGTCTCTTGTTCCTAAGTCATCTGCCAGTAGTATTTTTATTGAATATATGTATGTATGTATATATATATATTATATTTGTTTCCCCAAACTCTCAACAGGTGAAACCCTGATAACTTAGGACTGCACGTTCTCAGTCTTGGCCATTTCTCAGTCTCGGCCAATTAAATGGTTACAAATACTCTAGTTTTTATGTCAATGGAGTCTCTTGTTCCTAAGTCATCTGCCAGCCGTATTTTTATTAAATATATATATATATATATACATATATATATTATACATATATATATATATATATTTGTTTCCCCAAACTCTCAACAGGTGAAACCCTGATAACTTAGGACTGCACGTTCTCAGTCTTGGCCATTTCTCAGTCTCGGCCAATTAAATGGTTAAAAAAAATCTAGTTTTTATGTCAATGGAGTCTCTTGTTCCTAAGTCATCTGCCAGTAGTATTTTTATTAAATATATATATATATATATATATATTTGTTTCCCCAAACTCTCAACAGGTGAAACCCTGATAACTTAGGACTGCACGTTCTCAGTCTTGGCCATTTCTCAGTCTCGGCCAATTAAATGGTTAAAAAAAAGTTTTTATGTCAATGGAGTCTCTTGTTCCTAAGTCATCTGCCAGTCGTATTTTTATTAAATATATATATATATATATATATATTTGTTTCCCCAAACTCTCAACAGGTGAAACCCTGATAACTTAGGACTGCACGTTCTCAGTCTTGGCCATTTCTCAGTCTCGGCCAATTAAATGGTTAAAAAAAATCTAGTTTTTATGTCAATGGAGTCTCTTGTTCCTAAGTCATCTGCCAGTAGTATTTTTATTTAAATAACATATATATATATATATTTGTTTCCCCAAACTCTCAACAGGTGAAACCCTGATAACTTAGGACTGCACGTTCTCAGTCTTGGCCATTTCTCAGTCTCGGCCAATTAAATGGTTAAAAAAAATCTAGTTTTTATGTCAATGGAGTCTCTTGTTCCTAAGTCATCTGCCAGTAGTATTTTTATTACATATGTTATATATATATATTTGTTTCCCCAAACTCTCAACAGGTGAAACCCTGATAACTTAGGACTGCACGTTCTCAGTCTTGGCCATTTCTCAGTCTCGGCCAATTAAATGGTTAAAAAAACTCTAGTTTTTATGTCAATGGAGTCTCTTGTTCCTAAGTCATCTGCCAGTCAGTATTTATTATTAATATATATATATATATTTATATTTGTTTCCCCAAACTCTCAACAGGTGAAACCCTGATAACTTAGGACTGCACGTTCTCAGTCTTGGCCATTTCTCAGTCTCGGCCAATTAAACGGTTAAAAAAATCTAGTTTTTATGTCAATGGAGTCTCTTGTTCCTAAGTCATCTGCCAGTAGTATTTTTATTTAAAAATATATATATATACATTTGTTTCCCCAAACTCTCAACAGGTGAAACCCTGATAACTTAGGACTGCACCTTCTCAGTCTTGGCCATTTCTCAGTCTCGGCCAATTAAATGGTTAAAAAAAATCTAGTTTTTATGTCAATGGAGTCTCTTGTTCCTAAGTCATCTGCCAGTCGTATTTTTATCTGAGCCGGGAACGGCAGGCTGGAGGACTTCGACCCAACAACGGGGTAACACAACGGGGAAGGAACCACAACGGGCCAGAACAAGAACAAACAACGGGAGGGAAACAACGGGAAAATGTCACATTTATATTTTTTTGTTTGAAAGAATAAAAATATTCATTCCATTATGTTTTTTATCTGAAAAATATTCTCACATTCTGGTTTATTTTACAACATTTTCTAAATTTGTTTCAATTGCAAAAGTGTGTAATAATGCTTTAAAACAATCGAGTGAAAAAAAACACCAAATAAACATGCCAGCGTGTCCTGCAGTGCAGGAGCCAATCAGCCAATCACTTCTTTCAAGCAAAATAGCTGCAGTTATCATGACTTAGGAACTGCCCACTATTTCCTAATGCCTTATATCCTTGCAAAACTTGTTTAAAAATAACATGTTTTCTATGGTTTGTTGTGATGACATAGGAGTAAGGGACCCAGACCACCAAGGGTTTGTTTGCTCATGACATAGGAGTATGATTTTCGAGGGTATGTCCGCATCTGACTAAGTCATTTGCGGGTAGTATATATATATATACATACATACAGACATACATACATACATACATATTCATATGCCACATGTATGTGTATATAATATATAATTGTATTATGTCATATCATATGTATCATCTATCTATAGTGCTACGTGTGCAAGGCGTGCCTGGCAAAGCCGTCATATGCACACTGATGCAATATCCTATTTAATATGTATATACCGTAATTAAATATGTTGACAGGCACGTATTCGGTTGATACATACAACTCATACAACCATGTACTTTATATTATAGAATAGACATGCCTTGACAGCCGTGAGGGAAAGGAAGAAACAAAACAAAATAGGTTTTGTGTCTATATTATGTGTACGTATACGCGTGTGCATATGAATGGACATCATGTGCAACAGCCAAACAACTGGGTTAATCGCTTTTGCTACACTGCTATACCCAATCTTTGTGCCAATATTCCAATAATGCCCGCAAAACCTATGCTGTGCCTCGCCTACCAAAGCATCAGGAAAAATAAAGTCCAACTGTTGCTGCAACCTCAGCTGTGACAGCGAGTTGGCAAAGTTTCATCTGTCAATGGTTGGTCCACAAGGATTCCCAGTTTCTGGCTGTTCAAAATCTTCAAATCTCCAAAATGGTGCAGCGGAGATGGATTTGTCTATAGGCTAATTACCCCCATTCCATCCAGTGGTTGATCATCCTTTTCCCGGCATTTTCCAGTGGTTTTTTCGAACCATTTTCAGACAGACCATGACAGACCCATGTCCCAAGATACTCTACCCATCAGACGGCAAGGCGCTGTTTCATGAAGAGTTGCCGCAACTTGTCCGCCTGTACCGCAGATGGGCAGCACTGAAGGGCTACCCCTCGAAAGGGGGCCCGTTTTCGAATGGTTCCATTCGGAGTTTTTAAGCAAAATGGAAAATGTCGGGAATTTGGAATTTTCACATGACGGACATTTGAGTATGGGTCATCTTTGTATGATCTACGGCAGCTAAATTTTGGTGTGACCAACAAGGTATCAAGGTGAAATGCCCCATACCCACACAGACCAACCCAAAATAGTGGCAACGCGGGACGCAATCCAAACAGGACTTCTGCAGTAGTTGCTGACTCTTGAGGCCTCGTTGTCAAGGTCTCGCATCTTTCTTTGGAGCGGCCTGCCCCAAGACATCCCGAGACTCCAAGACTGATCATCTCTGGTCGACCATCGAAAGGATGTCCGTCATTTTGAGGGTCAAATGGTCGGTAAAACCCACCTTCTCTCGAGGGGGTAGAGCTTGTTCGCCCGGGCCACACGGGCCTACGAGGTGCAAATGGCTCCAGAAGAAAAATTGCTGAAACGGGGATGTCACAAAAAAACAAACACCAAAATATGGGGATGGATCAAGACCTATGGACCTATGGCATCGATGTTGATCAAGTTTCCAGGGGTCATCAACAATCCGTTAATACAAGTTAATACACATCATTTAGTATAAAATTATAAAACCATTTGCTCTTTTGATGTTCACATTCATAGGATTCATAGCCAGTCATCGACGGTCAGCGAATGCCGTTGCTGTCACCTGCAGTTGGCGATTGAAGAGTTGAGGATCTTTGGGCACGATCCAGGTGTCAACAGCTGACGCACGTAGCAGGATCAGCCTTAGCCAGGGATAAGGATCAGAAAAAACAAAGTTTATATAGTCGATACACTAATCATTAGTACAATCGTGAGCACATGTATACTAAGAGTTCGCTAATCATCCCATTATATAATGTGCTGAAATCTAGATCAAATTTGTATCAAGTGATTGGAGCCAAAATAGTTTCTGATCAAAAACCTGAGCAAAGCTTTGAGTCCAGGGGTATTCATTTTAGACCCATACCCTACCCAAACACAGAGACTCAGAATGGACGCACTTCCGCAGATCGCTGCATCTTTTCGCACTTTTGAGTCACTCTGACATTCCCGCTGAGTTTGCCTTCCGGGATAAAGGGTAAAGTGCTTCATAAGAGTTTCCTTACTTTCACTTGCTTGATCTTGCAGTACCCGTGCTTGATTCACAGTGCATAGCCTCTGATGTTCACATTTTCTTCCTGCATTGCAGAACTTGTTTCAACAAAATGCCTGGGTAACCCGGCCACCACCGTTCTTCCGACAAAAGCCGGAGTCGCAGTCGTGCTGCCCCATGCAGTTCAGTCCCATGCGCAGTCGCAGTGGCATCGTAAAGGAAGTCCTGGTCTCTCAAGACCTCGAAAGGGGAGCAAAAAAAAAACAGATGTTGGACCATTTTTACTGGAAAAATCTGGTAAACCCAATGGTAAACCCACAGCCACGTGCCAAAGTCGGAATCCAACACACTTGGTTTGGTGCCTCAAGCCTGAAATGTTGGTCAAGTGACAATGTCCATGTGGGCCAAATCAATGCGGCCACCAACGAAAAGTCAAACTTGGATCCCATAGAGCCTTACCTGCCTGACATTTGAGTGTTTACCAAACTTTCCAAGTGAACTTTTGAAAATATTCAAACATCATGTGCTAGCAAAAGTACAGTAGGGTGCTTATTTGGAATACTGTCCAAGGACACACAATCTAATATCTAGACTCCAAGGGAGCTTTAGTATAACTGCCACTGCCGGCCAAAGGCCAAAGTTTTTCCAGGTCCCCACACAAGTATGCCAATCCGGAAGAAGGGATGTCCCCAGTCAACATCATAGCAACCTGCAGGCAAGTGACCACTAAGCACTTGTTCCAGGATGTTCCGGGCCGACCCCAGAAGCATTCCTTTTTTTTTCCAGGAAAGAACTTTGAACTTCCCAACAACTTTCAGAAAGTTGTAAAGAAAGAAAAGCATTTCAGTGTATCCACAAAGACCAGGGGCTCAAAAAGGGGGGACCAATGGGTGGGTTCAAATAACTATACTAGTATATGAGCAATACCCCTAGTCATCCAGTTGTTTGCTGGTTAGCCCCCCATTCTTTCTTGCTTCAATCCCAAGATTTTGAATTCCCATTCTTGTCGCTACATCCAAATCACCCAGGCCTTAAATGATTTAAATGTCACTGGTTCCTCCATCAGCGCCCGCCTACAGGCCACTGTTGTTCAAAGCCGCCGCTACCCCGCAGCTCTTCTTGGGCCATGGTGCTCAAAGGGTGTGGCGTCGCACGCAGCAAGGGAGCCGCATTCAGCCCCTGACAGAGCCGGCTGTGATCAAGGCATTGAGAGAAACACTGAACTCTGAATTGGCTCTTTCGATGACCACCCAAAATGAGATACCAAATTGGGGCAAATTCAAGACCATTGGTTCTCAGTTCCTTGTAGAAAACATATGAAAACATAAAAGCTGCTTATGAAGATAAAGATATAATTAATGTCAAGTTAGGATTAATAATCCCAGCGGTATTAATCAACCCCCTCTGCCCAAAAGAAAAAATGTAATTACATAAATATGCAGGGTCAAAACCAACACCAACTCCTTCGCACAGTCGAAAGTCCATCCAGTCGATGTCAGTCTGAGCATCCGGGCTGCCAAGACCAGACCCATCAACTGCTTGGACTTGGGTATCGCACGGCCCTGCCGTTATTTTTGGGAGAAAACAAAAACTGTTGTGCCCTTTGTCGAAAAACCTGGTATGACCTGAATGTTGACAGACATTCACTGCATTCACTATGTATTTCATATTTCTGCATATTTCTGCACACATGTTTTGGGCAAGGAAACTTGGACACGGGAATGGCTACAACCCTATGATACATGTTAATACAGTTTGCGGACCATCGGGGCTGAAAATCCATCAAAACCCAGCTATTCGAGGTGGATCCATCCCATGATCCCATGGCCATCAACAGCCTAATTTTAACAGAGGTTGGCCACCCGTCTATTACCGTGTCATCAAACATGGTTTGCTGGAAAATCACCCATTGAGTTTGATGAGTTTCCCATTCACTTTGGGTATTTGCTAACCATCTATCCCACTACATCTCCACTACCATCCCATTGTATACCCACTCTACCACCCTTTTTGTTGATTAAATCTCCATTTCAATCCTCGATTTTGCTCATCAGCCTTATGAATATGATCTGATACAACATGACACTAAGAAGGGATTACAATGTACCTATCGCTTGTGAAGAGCTGAACCCCTCTATCAACTGACCAGGGAGGGCTGCTGCATCCTGGCACCTGTTGACTTCTGTGTAGCTCCCAGCGCAAGGCCAGCTCATCCAGCAGCGAACGACCTGAAACAACGCACCGATGCTGGCGCCGTCGTCGGTTGATGGGGATGAAAAACCAAGAGATTGACAGATGTTACTTCTATATCTTCTATATCTTCTATCTAACAGACAAATATCTACAGAAATATATATGATATTATTATGATTCTACAATCAGATTTAAGCACCAGTCAAATCCGCAGTTTCTGATGCTCTCGAAAATCTGATTTTGGTGGTGGAACATAGCATTGCCGGACACCGCAAGGCCATGGCCCTTGAGATCTGGAGAAGAACCTGATTTCGGCCCAACAAATCAGGTGATCCAGAGACCAAGTGACCAGAGACTTGGTCATGCAAAGTGTCTAAATCGATGCTGGTCCTAAACCTTCTTATCATTCTTAAACCATATGAAACCATCAAGTTTTGGACTCAACAGGTGCCACAGCCAGCACTCCGTTCTCCGGCACCTTCAAAGCCAAGGTCTTCAGAGTTCAAACTGGACTCATGGGCCTGCCACTATGGCATCGCGCTTTTCCACCAAAAGATTGGTTTGTTTAAGCCACCAAAACTTTAGGCGTTCCCCAGAAATCATCAGAGTATCACATGCTCAAATTTTCTTGGGTCCTGTTGTTTAGCAGACCTCAACTTGGATGATGCACAGTACATGGTAGAACACACAAAATGGCCCTATCTGCAAGTCGAAACCTCGAAGGGTGGCCCAAAAAGTATATAACTTAGCATCATGATGTGAGGAGACCTACAAGCAAAGAAACTGACTCATAGCATCGGGACACCTCTCGTGGCTCCAGCAATTGGTGCTGCTCCATAAATTTGGACCTCGAGAGGCTGCCAAATCTGCCACTGAGAGCGAAGTTGTTTGATGTGTTTTCACAGTTAGTTCATTGGTTCCAACAGCCCACAGTAAATCAAATCTGCTGGTATAACCACATCTGGCATAAGATAGTACAGATGCCAAGAATTTGGTTGGTTCATGCCATAAGACGGTGTACATACCCATGTGAAATCTTCCTTGCGACCACCATGGGGGCACCTCATGGCCAGCTTTGGACAACTGTTTTCCTTCCATTCAAAATCCCAAAAGAAAATCAAAGACAATAAAAGCCACAGCACGGTAAGAACAATAAACAGAAACATTAAAATCACAAAAACCAAGCACCAGTCGGTGCGCCTGGGCATACCCAGAAGTTCCTGAGCACTTCGAAGTTCTCTCCCTTGGCCGATCTCCAAGAGAACCTGGCTGAAAAAAACCAGCTATTGTGTTGCAAGTCAATGGACATTAATAAATGGGGGATCTCCAATAGCTGGTTTATTTCATGGAAAGGAAACTTCCCCATAGGTATGTGTCAACAAAAAAAACATGTCTATATGCATCATGTACACATGTATACATCCATGTTTTTTTCGTGAAAGTGTGCACGCACCTGCTCTGCAGCTGGGGAATGTCCCGCCATGAGAGTCTCGAGGTGCCTGCAGGATGTGAGCTTTCCCATGGCCAAACCCAAAGCCATGGTTGGCATCCCAAGTTTTTCTCCCAGAAACGGATGGTACAACATGCTACAACCATAGACAATCCTCAACTTTTAGGTTGATATGTGGCTTTATCACCTTGGAACTGCCTAGCACTCAGGGTCAATTCAATCTGATACATGTGCCGCTGGAGTCCAAGGTCTTGCCGTCGTGCCTTGTTGTGAGCTGTGGCAGACTGGACTGTGCTGCTCCAAGACTTTCGAACAGCTCTACAGCCTGACATCGATCTTTGTCTCAAAGCCAACACCCAGTGCTTCATTGGGCACCCCCAGCAGCCTGCGCTTTGGTTCCGAGAACATACCTCAGCTTTGGAAGTTCCAAAGCACTTCCAAAATATCAAAGACATCTGTCTGATTCTTGCAGCAATTCGTTTGGCTCAGTTTGGGTGTGTCTGGAAATATCTGGAAATAGAACCATAATGAACCATATACCCCAAAATTGTCTATTTGAATGGGAAAATGATGATTGATGATAAGCAACCAATGGATTTAGGGATACCCCATGATACCCCTATATTCAGACAACCCCCTTTGTTTGTCAACGCACGGTGTCGCAGATCATCCCAATTGGGTGCCGGGCCCTGCAACTGCTTCCCGACACAGGAATTCCAAGAACCAATCGACCAACTGCGCCGTCCTTGCAGGCTCCATCGCTCCAAGGAAATGGTTGGTTCTTGCGAAAAAAATATGGGGAGCGACCGTCTGCAGTGGAAAAAAACACATTTAACATGGTGTCACATGGCCAAAGTTGTGGGTCCATTGGTATTTATTATAGCATTATCTATATGTATACATATATATATATATCTATATATATAATTTATATACCCCCCAATTTTTGCCGGTTCCCCCACAACGTCACGACGTCCCAGGCCTGGGAAGCAGCTCCAAGGCACTCAGCGACCATAGCACCGTCAGGGCCGGCCGTGGCCGCAGCTCGGAGCCATTCGGGTCACTCACCTGGCGATGTTCATCTGTGGGTTTTACCCAATGTCATAACTGGGTATATCTATGGTAAATCTATGGTTAACCACTGGTAAATCTATGGTATATCTATGGTAAATCTATGGTTAACCACTGGTAAATCTATGGTATATCTATGGTAAATCTATGGTTAACCACTGGTAAATCTATGGTATATCTATGGTAAATCTATGGTTAACCACTGGTAAATCTATGGTATATCTATGGTAAATCTATGGTTAACCACTGGTTTTACCCAATGTCATATTTTTACTATTTGATACCGAATCGAATATGTGAAGTGAATGAAGTGAATGTAGTAATGTGGGTAAAACAAGAATAAACATCAATAAACTTGATAAACTAGCCATTTGGAAATGGTAAGTTTATACCACCTATATATAAATTTATGGTGATGACTGGGGGATGGTAAACATGACATTGGGTTTTTTTACCCACATGAGATGAATAAAAGTAGTGCCATCTAGTCATCTGCATTGTCATTGTTATTATCATGGTCATAATTCTCATTTCCATTGTCATTATCATAAACATCATTCTGATGAGCAGAATGATGAGGATAATTGATGGACTATACATCTGGTGAATCTACTGTATTTGGATTCTTAAATCTCATCATTTGGATTGGGGCTACGGTAGTTATCCAGATTGGCCAAATTAGTAAACACTGAAAAGCTAGTGAATCTTCTGCATGTGAAGCATTGCTAATCGTCTAGGAGCCTAGGATCTAGGGTTGTCACAAAATGATCAAAATGAGTCAAAATGGGGAACCTGGAAGAGGAATAATTCTAATGAGAAAATTTTGACGAACTGTGGGATTTTGAGGTTGCAAGTTTTGAGACAACCCCATTCATGGTCTGGAGGAATTATCATCAGTGGGTATGGGACATTTATCTGGATCAATTGTCACAATTCGGCAATCTGAACTGAGATTACATCAGAGCACGTTGGGGTGGTATTGGGGTGGTACCCGTGACTAAGCCGCTGAGCATAATTCCTGGTGGTTTTGTTGCTAGGGGATATAGTTCACCCAGATGTATCGGTCGAATGGTTCAAAAACTGTTTCATGGTCAACATCAGAGTGACCACCTCAAGTGACGAGTTGATTTTTTTCCAGCTATGAACCCTTCGCAACTTCAGACTTTGTGTCATGTCCCATAGTATACCAGTATACTCCAAATTTCCTGTCCCATCATATTCGCCATTACATCGGAATGCCCCAGTTTCTTCCACACCCCATGACACTCAGCGAAGCGCTCCTGCCAGCCATTCAACTCTGCCAGCAACAAGTCCAACAACTCAGGTCGTGCAAGGCGAAGCTGCCTCGAGTCGAGGCACCATGGCGATGTCGATTCACCATGGATCTTTTTAGGGACCTCCAGTGAAACCCGTTGGTCCCTGAGGTGTCCTTTTAGACGTTTTTTTTCCACATGCCAATTGCGGGGGCAAAGTTCTGCCCCAGGTCTCAAGGTGATTCTTCCTCCTGAATCCCGCAATCATTTTAAGCTACATTAATGTTTAAGCCTTAAGCATGTCACAATAGTATATATATATACCAGCGCCACCAAAGTGGTTTCCATTGGAGGCCACTTAGCAAAGGTTGCCAATGGAAGCCACTTTTCAATAGGGGTTTGAGCTGCAATGTTTGGAGGCATCATGCTATAACATCTATACTATTGGTTGTGCACCCTTAAGTGACAATTCCAATCAATGTTTTCATGTATTAGTGTATATATATATACATATATATGTTAGTATAGATATATATATATATGTTAGATATACTAGTAAATTATAAATATATATATATATACAGTATATGTATGAATGTGTATGTGTAATATATATATACATATTTATCTGTACATATATATATATTAGTAAATATGTATATGTATATATATATGTTGGTAAATTTAAATGTATATGAATATATACTGGTACATATATATATGTATGTATGTATATATATATATGTGTATGTATGTATATATATATGTATATATGTATATATGTATATATGTAAGTGTATATATATAAGTATATATATAAGTATATATATAAGTATATATATAAGTATATATAAAATGAATATGTATATATATATGTGAATATATGTGTATATATATATGTGAATATGTGTATCTATATATGTATATATTAGTAATTAAAAAATATATTTTAGTATACATATATATATAGTACTATGGATATATACATAGTGTTATGTATATATATATATAAGTACATAGAAATTAGTATATATACATTTATATACATATTAGTTTATGTATTAGTATATATATATATAAGTATTGTATATATATATATACATATATCAGTACTCTATATATATATACATATATCAGTACATGTATATTAGTGTATAAACTGTACATATGTATATAATGTATCAGTATGTATATCTATTAGTGTATGTGTATATATTATATATCAGTATACATACATATATTAGTATGTATATATACATATAGATATACAGTATTAGTGTGTATATATATATATATATTATATATATACACTTATATAACTTATATATATATTATTGTATATATATATATTATTGTATATATATATACATATGCGTATTAATAATGTATACATATACATATACATTATATCCAAATAGTATGTAAATAATCGTATGTATATTGTATAATCGAATGTATATAATGGAATGGAGTGTAGATATTCAATATCATGTATATCGTCCTAGTCCTGTTTTATTTGGCCCCTCTTCGTACAACATCCAGCCGAGCTACGCCATCACACGGATGGCCTGAGCTCCATGGGATGGGTTCTGGTCATCCCAAGTGGGTTACAACGGCTGTATGAAGCCCTGATAGTAGTACCCTCTGATAGTGGGTTACAACTATGGAAAATCACCATTTTCAATGGGAAAATCCATTATAAATGGCCATTGTCAATAGCTACCCAGTATGTTTGTTTACCAGAGGGTATGACATTATGACCATCCAACTCTGGCATACAATCGACCTTTTCACCGTGTTACCAACCTGCTGACTGGGATGCACATCGTAGTAACCCCCATAAAGAATCATAAAGATAGAAACGTAAAGCCCAACTCGAAGAATATGGGAAATTACCAAAAACTATCTTTTGGGGGGGACTGTAATGTCATAATCCAATATGTGAATCCTTGTCAACCAAGCAATTGTAAAAACACTGACTGTTTACTTTTCTCCCTTTATGAGGATTGACATCAATTATTCCGAAGCAACCCTGAAAGCTTCCAAGCACCCTGACTCTCGCTGCATTTCGCCGAGAAATTCGCCCACCATTTGCTCCGTATCTGTGCACAATGGCCTGGTAGCAAATCTGGGGTTCCCATTGTCGCAGGTAAAAGACTGTGCGTCCCCACCTACCAACCCGGTGACATCAGGATTTATATACTGTACAGTGACAGTAAAATCTACAGAACTGGTATGAATTCTTCACTCACAAGTAAGCTGCTTGCGCCACCTGAGCCACTGAATCGCAGCTTGCCAAACCCTGTGCTCCAAAAGCTTCGAAGACATCAACCAGTTCCGCCATGGTCATCCTGCCACCATGATCACATCCAGGAAATTTTAAGTCGTAGAAACAATGGGAATTCAATTCGAAGCATAAGGACAACCTGCCCCCATACAATTCAGAGGCCTTCCCAGCAAGCTGCTCTGCACAACTTCCTGCGCTGAAAAAAGACCCCAAGTCATTGCCAATGGTCGGGAAATGGGGGAACCTAAAAATAGTTTTTTTTTACAAAACTGGGGTGGATCATCATTTTTGTTCGCCATTCTACTTGCATTTCTGGGGCGGCATACTGGCATACCCCAGTTTGCACAAACCCAAGTGCTGTCCTGTGCGGGCACCAGCTCCGTGCCACCAGCACTCCCTGGCGATGTGGTGAGAAAGAAATGCAAAGAAATGGGGATGGGTCAAAACCCTGGTACCTAGTGAAGCCCAAAATAGCTGGTAAATGGATGTTCATCCCACTAAAATGTATCTATAGGTATTGACCCATACCCAAATGCAAAGAAATCAATGTCAATGTAGCCAACCACTGATGACGCACCTGCAATCAGGAGCTGAGGCCTCACTGACAGCAAATGAAGGCCTACTGAAGTAACTACCATTAACTACTTATGTCTATTCCTTGTAGGGTTCCAAGCAACAGTCAAAATGAGATCTGCCCAGAATGCGAGTTGGGATGAGTCCCCAGCGCTGAATCAAGGGCGTTTAACATGCGAAGCAAGAGGTGACACTCCTGGGCCAGGCTCGGAAGGTGACAGTTGTTATATATAATTATATATATATACATATATATATATAGTGACGGACAACTACTTAGAACGTAATTTTTCGATTTTTTTTCTACTTAGAACGTGGTCACAAATCAACACTTAGAACGTAGGCATATTTTCAACACTTAGAACGTAAAACCAACGCTTAGAACGTAGGGGGGCCAATTCAACACTTAGAACGTAAAACCAACACTTAGAACGTTCCAAGTAGTTGTCCGTCGCTATAATTATGAATAATTAACATATGATATGTATATACATACATTATAAATATATATTATATAAATACTACTACTATCCAAATCCTTCGAGAAATTGATGAGGTACCCACCGTTTCAAATCAACTGTGATGGTTCCCTTCCATGCACAAAAAACATAACCCTCCAACCTTCAGAAAGCGCTCTCAGAGAGCATTTTTTGCGCGGGCACCCTTGACAGCGCGGTTTCTGAATGGTTCTTTTTATATCTACATGGATTTGAGATACCTTCGGTCTTTTGCCAGGAGGTTCTTCTTTGGCTGGTGCAAAACTCTCCCCAACACTAGTATGTGTGAAAAAAAGGCCAAACAATCCATCTATATATATAATTTCTCTCAAAAGATACCTGTACTCTTAAACAATCTTTGAGTAATTACATATATATATACATAATCCCTTCCCCCTACTACTAAACCCCCTAAATAATACTAGGGTCCATCTCTAATGTTGGAAAATTTCAGGTTGGCCAAGTTGACTTTTAGTTGATCCCCTTTAGAAAACAATTTAAAAATAAAGCTACCATTTGTGGGTTTCGCCCCCTATAATAAAAACTAGTTAACCTCGGGCTGCTTATTATTAGGGTCCGTGATAATTTTAGTTTTATAAATATATATATATATTAGGATTTTTAGTTTAATATTAAGGGGAAGCTTCGAAATCCAATTTTTGGCAATATGTTAATTGCGTTAAAAAATGAAAATTAATTAATTTTGAAATCGAAAAAATAGTTTTTTATTAAGGTTTAAAATTTATTAATACGGTCCGCTTTGAAATCCAATTTTTGACAGAATCTTAATTGCGTTATAAAAGGATATTGACTTGATTTTGAAATCGAAAAAAATAGTTTCCGATTAGTACGAAATTATGTCTATGTTTCCTACGGAATTAGCTGCTGAATCCAACACTTAGAACGTCAGAACCCCCAAAAAGCACCAAAAGGCATAGTGTTCCAGAGAAAAAAAAAATCGCCAATATTTGCAAATCATATGGGAGGGAAAAGCCAAATGGTACGAAATTATGTCTCTGTTTCCGACGGAATTAGCTGCTGAATCCAACACTTAGAACATCAGAACCCCCAAAAAGCACCAAAAAGTATAGTGTTCCAGAGATAAAAGACCGCCAATATTTTTTTGCAAATCATATGGGAGGGAAAAGCCCAATGGTACGGAATTATGTCTATGTTTCCTACGGAATTGGCTGCTGAATCCAACACTTAGAACGTCAGAACCCCCAAAAAGGCACCAAAAAGTATAGTGTTCCAGAGATAAAAGATCGCTAATATTTGCAAACCATATGGGATGGAAAAACCAAATGGTACGAAATTATGTCTATGTTTCCTACGGAGTTAGCTGCTGAATCCAACACTTAGAACGTCAGAACCCCCAAAAAGCACCAAAAGGTATAGTGTTCCAGAGATAAAACATCGCCAATATTTGCAAATCATATGGGAGGGAAAAGCCAACTGGTACGAAATTATGTCTATGTTTCCTACGGAATTAGCTGCTGAATCCAACACTTAGAACGTCAGAACCCCCAAAAAGCACCAAAAGGTATAGTGTTCCAGAGATAAAACATCGCCAATATTTGCAAATCATATGGGAGGGAAAAGCCAAATGGTACGAAATTATGTCTATCTTTCCTACGGAATTAGCTGCTGAATCCAACACTTAATCCCTTCCCCCTAATACTAAAGGTCGCCCCCCAAGTAATAAACACCTCAGGTAGTTTTTATTATTAGGGTGGTTTTTATTATTAGGGAACCCTAATAATAAATTTAAACCCTTAATAAAAAAACTAGTTGTGTCGATTTCAAAATCAATCAAATTTCCTTATAGAACGCAATTAAAATATTGCCAAAAATTGGATTTCGAAGCGGACCCTATTAATGAATTTAAATCCTTAATTAAAAAAAAGATTTCAAATTCAATTAAATTTCCTTATATAACGCAATTAAAGTATTGCCAAAAATTGGATTTCGAAGCGGACCTATTAATAATTTTAAAACCTTAAGTAAAAAAACTATGTTTGTTTGATTTCAAAATCAATCAAATTTCCTTATATAACGCAATTAAAGTATTGCCAAAAACTGGATTTCGAAGCGGACCCTATTAATAAATTGAAACCCTTAATTTAAAAAAAAAACACTAAAATTTTCACGGACCCTAAAAATAAACACCCCGGGGTTAACTAGTTTTTATTATTAGGAGGCGAAACCCACAAATGGTAGTTTTATTTTTTAATTGTTTTCTAAAGGGGATCAATTAAAAGTCAAATTGGCCAACCTGAAATTTTCCAAAATTAGAGATGGACCCTAGTTTTTATTATTTGGGGGGGGTAGTAATAGGGGGAAGGGATTAGAGATAAAAAGATTTCACAAGCCTTCCCACTATCACCATTGACCTAGACACGTTCTAAGTGTTAAATTCCCCGGTACGTTCTAAGTGATGAATCTTGATATTTGGACCTTCTAAGTGATGAATTTTCTACGTTCTAAGCCGTACACTTAGAACGTCCTATAGGCACAAAAACAACAGATTTTTTCCAAAATACGTTCTATGTAATTGTCCGGCACTCTATATATATATATTATATATATATATATGAATCGAGTTTCAATACTGGTTGAGAACGGGGGAATCCGATGGTGATACTCCCCATTGGTACTTGTAGAATCCCTAAATCAGCCAACCGAGGCTTTTGGGGATTCATCGCCGGTTGCACCCAGTTTGGAGCCAGGTTCCTCAAATTTCAGCTCGGGAAAGGATCGGATGGCCATTGCCACCTATGGAGCTGGTCCGAACGAAGCGAATCGTTGAGTTCATGGAACCTCCGAAACTCCACAACAACTCAGAAACTCAGAAATGGTGATGAATCTTGTCACATCGTGATGAATCTTGGAAATCTTCAGGCTTTACCAGAAACATCATCTTTGAGCGACGAAAACGCCTCCGCAGGTGTGAGCAAGGCGAAGGGATCGTAACCCAGGCCTCACCCACTGCGTTTGTGGGTCCCTGCTATAACTACATTAATTAGTCTGTGGAACATGACCATGACTTTCTTATAGTTTCCTGCTGGGTCTGAAATGCCACTCGCAAGTCTTCATCAGAGCTGCAAACTATCCTCCATTCATGTTTTTTTCCATCAATCACATTCTGTATCCCGTCCAGGCCTTCTGCTTGAGCCTCCAAAGCTCTTGCCAATCTTTCGTAGGCTGCAGTGAAGACATGCCGATATGCCTCGCGATGCAGCGTGCAAGACCACCAGGCAGACTGAAGTGTTTTGAAAGAGACATATCCATTCGGGGAAAAGTCTCACAAAGGTACTTAGCCGACTTAGCCTTTAGCTGGAAATTTGTGGGCTGGAGTGTTCTTGAGTCTATCCTCTGCTCAATGCTTAGAATCTAAGATCCAATGTGCCAATGTGCATCAGGGCCTTGTAGCAGTATGCCTTCAAACTCTCGATACAGCTGGCTACCTGCTGGCTTCAGCAAAAGTCCAGGTGGAGCTTGAGATTCTCCACTTTCACTGTGGGTTTGTCCAAACATGGGCATAATTTGTGCCATCCAAATCGCCATGTTGGGTATATTAGAACAAACCCATGCAGCCCATGCAGAACAAAACATGTCAAAGGCGGAAAGGGGAAGTGGAGCAGTGGAGCACTGTCCACCAATGGATGTGGATGTATAAATTCGATGTCAAGAAATAGCCACATCTCATATCTACCTGATCCTGATCTGCCTGATTGATGTACTTGACCTACCTGATCTACCTAGAAAATCAGGAACCCCAAAATCTCATGGTTCAGTTGTCATGTTCCCATTGAAATACAGATTGGGAGGCCATCTCCCAAGACAACACCAGGGTATATAGTATATTGATGGCTAGGATATGGCTGCATCCTGCATTTCTTCTGGGTTAGTTCTTTGTCCCTTAGGGGTTTGATCCCTTCTTTCGGACAATGCCATTCCCTTCCACACCAGATTTTGAAATTCCCATATTTAAGACTGTTCTCTTCAAAACCCCAATCTATAGATATCTATAGATTATTTCTCTTTAAAGACCTTTATTTACAAGGAGTGTTCCTCATTGTATAAATAAGTTCCCCAATCTAGACCGTCGTTTTTTGAAAGGGATCTTACCACGAATAAGCATAAATTGGATCCACAATTGAATTTAAACCCTGATTTGTAGATGTCTTGTTTCGATTCAGACCTCCATTTATAGTAACGCCCAAAAAGATGCTGAAAACTCTTTCCAGGTGCCCAACTGTTCCAAATCTTTGGGGGCTTCATAGAAGCCCAGTTGAGTTGGATGATTCTTGGTTAAAGAAGTCCGCATCTGAAGTATAGATCACATTGCCAGCAGCATTGAAAAAGGTCTCCACAGCCCCAGGATGAAGCAAAAGGGGTCGCCAAGGGAGGCCAGCGCAACGAGGGAGACCCCACTGTTCTGCAGGTTGTTGACCGTTTGAGAAGTAATGCCACATGGCCAAGGGCGGCGCTCAACGTAGCGGCCAATGGCTGAAGCAGCTTCCATCCCGTGAGTCTTTTTGGGATGAGCAGGTGCGGCGAGTGCCAATCTATGTGTGCCTACCAGTTTCCACCAAACTCTCCAAAAAGGTCACTGATTGGATGAGCAAACAAAGGTGGCGGAGCATAACCGCACTGCTGCAGATCAGAAAAGACACTGGATCGTGCTCCCTGAGCCACCTGATCCTTCATTGTCTGGTGATCAGTACGCACAACTGGTGAAAGGTTTGAAGGTGCACTGCCTATGGTGCAAGCGTGAGAGATGCCTTTCAGTTTTTGGTGCTTTTATGGACGTTCCATGCCCTGCTTGTTAAGGTTGAGTCTTCACTGCCTTATGGTGGCCAACACTTGGCCTTGCACGGGGACTTCCTCTTGGTCGCCTTCTTTTTCTACTGGTTTTGTTTTAGGGGTGGATGATAACCTGTGCTCGGTTGCGTACATCATCAACAACATCATCATCATCATCACCAGTTGAGTTGGATAACTCCTGGCGTGAAGCTCTTTGTCTTCACGATTGGCATCACCGGCACGTGGGCCAGGAGGCACGTTGTCAGGCGCTTTGCATTTCTGACAATGACCAAAGATGCCTGGAAGGTTTGTATGGCAGTTTCTGCCCTTGATGTTTGCAACTTTGCTGTCACTGATTTGAATGCACGTAGACGCAACCAACTGTTGCATGCACTGTTTGGCAATTCTAGCTCTGCACAAGAGACGGATCTTTTGCAAGTGAATGATCCTTGGGCCCCTGTCACCCGCAAGGGTAAGAAACCGGCTCAAAGAACAATTCAGGGTCCACCTAAGCAGACCACCACAAAGTGGGAAGACCTTGAAATCCCACATATGGATGAGCTTGAGCCTTCTTTGCCACAGCTTCCCATTTCAAGTTTGCAGCCTGATGTCACTGGAGTGGTTTTAGCCACACTTCCGAGCGTGGATCGACACAAATGGGTCCGCAGTCAGCAGGCCCTTGCATTGATGGTACCTGGTCAAAACCGGGAGGATTTGCAAGCAGTGATGCTCACAGGAGGTCTTCAAGCTTCCGCAGTCGCGGAGGGTGAAATCACTTTGAGAGACCCCTTGAAAGCCAAGCGAGAGCGCAGAAGGGTGACCTTGATCAACTTGGGCGCCTCCCCAGTCAAGTTTGCTCCACTCCCCACTGACTTGAAGGTTCCTGTTAGTGACACCTTAGAGCTTTGGTTTGCAATCCAGAAGCGCTACGCTTCTCCAGCCTTGTGGCAATATGTCACCCAAGGCGGACGCAAGAGCATGATCAACCTGGTTTCGGCCTTGAAAGCCGGCAAGGATCCTATGGCCGCTCTCGACGGCCAATTGTCCGAGATCTATGGGCTCACTCGCAACCAACAGTCTTGTGAATGTGCAGCGAGAGCCTTGACCGCGGAAGCCAATCGCCTGCTTGAGCACAGCGGGACGCATGGTGTCTTTGTGCGCAAGATGAAGCGCTTTGGCCAGAAGATTGAAGATGCTGTCATTCTGTGGATTCCCACCAATGACCTGCCTGATTTGCAGGCCAGATGTCAACCCCTGAAGGGTCTTCAAGGCATAGTTTGCAACCGACAAGGACTGGGTGTCCGAGTCACTGGAACTGGTGATGAGTTGGCTCAGGCCCGTGCGGTGCTGCAGCCCGGCAAGGTGGCACCCAACAGTGCCCAGATTCGTGGCGATCAACACTTTGAAGTCAGCGGCCTACCCCTGCAGACTGAAGCGGCTGATGTGCAGTCTTTGCTGGAGACTGCCGGATGCCACCCATGGATGGACTGCTTGGACAACACGTCCGCTCCGGAGTTTTGTGCGGCGAGACCGCCGTGTATGGATTGTGGCTGCAGACACCGCTCCTGCCAAGGACAAGCTGCCTACAAGCACTGGTGTTGTCCTCATTGAGAAGCTGGCGTCTCCCAGTGAAATTTTCCAACAGAAGGAAGACCAGAAGCGCAAGGAGAAGGTCGAGCGCTTCAAGTACTCCCCTGACAAGATTGACAAATCGCCAATGGCTCCTGCCTTCCCGGCCTCTAGCCGCCCTGCTTCCTCGCAGGCTTCCAAGCCACAAGAATCCATTGCTGCTGACCTCAAGCAATACGTGGACACCAAGCTCAAGGTGATCAAGTCGGACCTTGACAACCAGTCCCAGAAGGTCGCCTCCCTGTACGATGATTTTCAGCACCTCCGCGATGATGTGCACCAATCTCTTTCCAAAGTTGCGACCAAGGATGACATCGCAGCTCTGCTTGCAGAGCACCTATCTGACAAACGTCAGCGCACGTGACTCCGCCATTTTGGATGGGGGCATGACTGGTCTACCCACATTTTGTGGCCACGGACCTGGAAATTCGTTTGGGGCTGCTTCGCCTTTTCTTTGCGCAGCAAGTTCCTGCATGCTTTGTATGGCAACTACGTCAAGCCGATGAGGGTCAGTTTGACGTTCGCCAACTGCACTTCTCTCTTTGCCCGCAAAGACGCTTTGAGAGCCTCTGCAGATATTCTCCTTTTTCAAGAGACGACCATGTCTCAGCGGGGCAAACAGCAAATTCTTCGCCTTCTGCCTGGTTGCCGTCGCAAAATTTTGTGGGGCTGTGGGCCCACCAACAGCTCATCTACAGGGGTGTGTTGCGCTCTTCCTCTTCACACTCCGGCCTTGGAAGTGGAACAACTGGGTGCCATGCAGGATTTTGCTAACGACGGGCGTTTTCAGCACGTCATCATTTCTCTCTCTGGCCTCAGGCTCCATATTATGAATATTTATTGCAAGGTGTCTGATTGTGGCTACAACGAAAAGCTGCTATGGGCTCTTATGCAGTACTTGGCCGGCCTCGGCCCGGTCCCAGTTTTGCTTGGTGGTGACTTCCAGTCTGATGTCATCAACACCTCGGTTTTTCAGTTGCTGTACCAGCATGGCTGGTACAACTTGGCGCGTTTGTCTGGTTTGGAGAACACTCCGACATGGTGTCATGGTGGCAAGTGGCATGACGAGGGCGCACCTCGTTCTATCAATGATTTGGTCCTTGCGAACTCCTTAGCTCTCAACATGGTGGAGTCCTTTGAGCACAAAACTGATTGGAACAAGGCATTGCAGCCTTGCCGTTTGGGTGAACCGCGACCTGACCATGTTCCTCTGCACGTTGTGTTGGCTTCTTCACATATGGTGGATGCAAAGGTTTCCATTTTGCCTCTGGCCCAAGCCAGCCCTCCAGTGGATCAGTGGCCGGCCATGCCTTTGGCTGATGAGAACGCGTTGTCTGCCGAGGTATGGTCTCAATTTTCCAGAATTTTTCAGCAGCAGCTAGATTCAGATGTGGATGACGCCTATTCTACATGGTGTCAAGCAGCTACAGCATACCTTGGCCGCCGGCTTGGCCGTTCTTTCCCTCCTCGGGGGCAACTCGCAAAGCCACAGCTTGTGCCAGCTATGGGCACATGCAGCTACAAAGGTCCTGCGGAACCACACAGGCTCCGTCAAGGGCGTCGTGCAGCGCGGTGCCTGCGCGAATGTTTGACTCTGATGTGCAGGGCTGCCACCACACCGTGGTCTATTGCGGACCGTATCCGCTTTGAAGCAACTTGGGAACGCAGCAGAACCTTGGGGGGACGCCTCCTACAACATGCTTGGCCGGAACAGCCCACTGCAGTTGATATCCAGGAAGCCTTGGGTCAACTTGAGATGGAAATCGATGCACAGCTTCATGATATTATTTCTACGCGGCAACAACAGTGGCGACATATGGTGCATGACTCTGACATTGCTTCCTCCAAGGGTTTGTTTGATCTCTTGAGGCCGTCTCGCGCTCTTGGTTTGCAATCAGTGCAGGTGAATGGTGCTCCTTGTTTTGATCTCAATGTGATACTGGATAAAGTACAGGAAGCATGGGCTCACATTTTTGACCGGTCTTCCGCCCCGGCCCCTGCGGCCTTCCTGCAGGAATATGCAGCTGAGATCCGTGCTCGTGCAGCGCCCTGTGAGTTGCCTTCTCTCACCGGCGCTGACCTGATGCGACAGGCAAAGCAACGTTCTGGAAGTGCGGTAGGTGGTTTGGACAGTTGGCGAACCTATGAGCTTCAACAACTTCCCATTGTTTTCTGGGATGCAATGGCAACACTCCTGCAGTCTATTGAAGCCTCAGGTGTGTGGCCACAGTCTATGCTTCATGTGAATGTGACCATGCTTAGCAAAGGGGAGGGCACTGAACCGGGCAAGCTGCGCCCGATCAGTTGCGGGGCCGTGTTGCGTGCCGTTTGGGCCAGTCTGCGTTTTCGACAGATCAAACCGTGGCTTCAGAGGGTTTGTCCTCCTTCCGTTTTTGGGGAGCCGCTTGAACAAGCTCTGGAAATGTCCTTGGCCCATGAAGAAGCACTCCTGGGATTAGCCCCGGCTCTAAGCACAATGTTTTTCGACAAGACCAAATGTTTCGACAAATTGGTCCTTCCGGTTGTGTCCAGCGTATGGTCTGCATTGGGAGGCCCCCCAGGGGTTATCCTGGCTCTCGAAGGTTTCTATGGCTCCTTGACCCGCAGGTTCAAGATCAATGGTGTTGTTGGTGCAGCATGGCAGTCCAGTGCTCCTCTCCAAGGTTGTGCCCTCTCAGTAGCGATGATTCATTTGCTCATGGGTATTTGGTGTCAGCGTAACGAGTCCCTGGGTCTTCGCCCGCGGGCATACTTTGACGACAGCAGAGTCAGTTTCTCTGCGTCAGATGGTCAGGCGGCTACCATAGCTTGGCAAGAGGTGCAACGATTTGATGAGGTCAGCGGTCAACTCACCAATACTCGTAAATCTTTTGCAGTGGTGCCAGCACCGCGTTTTGCTCCCCAAGTGGCTGCAGCCACCGGCAATGCTTTAGAGGTGAAGGCGCAAGCCAAAGTTCTTGGACATCAAACAGTTGGTGGCAAACTCAGGAGGGTTGCGGTATCTCATGACCGTGCTGACTCTTGTGCGGCTACCTTGCAGACAGTACGTGCCACTGGCATTCCGCCTCGCCAAGCAGAAAGGTACATTGCAGCTAAGGCTATGAAGCAGTTTCTCTATGGATGTGAAATTGGTCGGCCTGGTGCCAATGACATGCAGCAGGTTCGTTGGGCAGTCACTGCAGCATTGTGGACTTCTACTAGACTTCAACGCAACCCAGAAGTTCTTGTCACGCTCCTGCGAAAGGGTCATTTGGTCGACCCCCTCCAAGCAGTCCCCTTTCAGACCGTGCTTGGCCTTCGTCGACTCTTTCTGAAGCGGCCTGACCTGTATGCCCGCGCTTTGCAGATCTGGCCTAGTTGTATCTCAGGCCAGGCTCACCTGGCAGGACCACTGCGCAATTTGGCAACACTTTTGGCTGACATGCAGCTCACTTGGATTGATTTTGAAACTGTTGAGACCCGACAAGGTCGTCGGTTTTGCTTGTGGAAGTGCAGTGGCGCTTTCCTTGCTCACAGGCTCCGTGAGGAGCTCAAATGGAGCAGGTGGCAGCATGTCCACCGTAAAGATATGGAAGGCATCCAAGCAGAACGGGGAGTGAACCTTTTTGCTTCAACCTTTTTGTTGCGTGGTGGTCTTTCTCGCCGCGATGTGGACAGCCTTTTTCCTGGATGCCGCCAACAGGTGGCTCGCTTATGTGGTGGTTCGCTCTCCATGTACATGCATGGTCTGTTGGAAGGTATCCTTGCCGGCGCAGCTGTGGCACGGGTTCAGCTAGAAAAAATGCACAAGGTTCCTAGCGCGACTTGCATTCACTGCTCTTTGAACGTTGATGAAACCAAAGTACACATGTTTTGGGAGTGCCCTGCTTGGCAGTTTATCCGGGATGCCACCATCGGCAAGTTTTGCCCCGGTGTATTGGACAGGCACCCCTTGCCAGTAGAGCAGGAGTGTGGGATCACCTTAAACCCTGAGTGGCTGCTGGAAGAGTTCTTGGCTTTGGAGAGCATGCAACAACAATCTCCTCCCAGTATTTCTTGGGAAGAGGCGGCGCCGCAAGTCCTTCAGGATGACCGCGGAGTTTTGGTGTGGACTGATGGCAGTACCGCTCATGGTGCCATCCCGGAGTTGGTACGCAGCGGTTTGGGTATATACTACAATGACAGTGTCGCTTTAAATTTTCATGCTGCCTTGGCTGGTCCCCTGCAAACCAACAACCGTGCAGAGCTTTTGGCAGTTGTGCTTGCAGCAGAACAGGGCGTTGGGTGGAAGCAATCCTTGGTCATTCACAGTGACTCTGCTTGGGTCCTCAACAGAGCACGTACTCTTAGTGGTATCCAGCACATCCCACTCACCTGGGAACACTCTGACTTGTGGCAGCGCTTGTGGCGTGCATGCAACGACATTGACATCACCTTCGTTTTTGTCCCGTCGCATTTGACTGCCGCGGATGCGGAACAATATGGCTTGACTCCTTTAGTGATACAGGGCAACAATGAAGCTGACAAACTGGCTAAACGTGGGGAGCAACTCCATCATCACCCCACTTGGCATGGTCGCATTCGACAGTTTGGGCAACTTTTGCGCGATACCGTGTGGTTACAGGTTTGCATGATGTTTGTTTGCTTGGCTCGCAATCATACAGAGGTACAGGGGTCTGCTGCCAACACCTCTCCTGCCCCACTGCCCATGAACCACGGTTGGTTGCAATTGAAAGAACGTTTACATCGCGAACTACAACTCCATCCTACAGGTGGTCGGCGATTTTGCCACAAACGGCCCCCTGTGGGCCTTGATGGCGAAGCTGTCCTTGAGGTAGAAGCTCCACAGTCTGCTGCAGCCAGCTCTCGCCAACGGCCTGTAGCCGTACACGCTGTGCGCCATCCGCCTCGGCTTGGCCCAGCAGTGAGCATGGAATGGCAACTGGTGCCTAAGCCATGGCTCCTTGTCCAACGTGCTCCTGGTCAACATCGCCGTGTTGGCAATGATGGTATGTTCATTCAGATTGGTGTCAAGCCATCCTTGTTGCCTGCCATGGAGTGGTATCTGGGCCACCTCCAGTGGCCAGAAGAAGGTCGCAGCCAGGCCATCACCTTTTGTGAACTTGCAATTGACTTTGAGATTGCGACAGGGGTTCTTCTGGAGATGCCAAAGGCTGACAAGGCCAACCAACTTGGCCAGCGTGCAAGGGCTTTTGCATCAGCTGCTTCAGCTATTGGCCGCTACGTTGAGCGTCGCCCTTGGCCATGTGGCATTACTTCTCAAACGGTCAACAACCTGCAGAACACGTGGGGTCTCCCTCGTTGCGCTGGTCTCCCATGGAGACCCCTATTGCTTCATCCTGATGCTGTGGAAACCTTTTTCAA